GATATTGTTTTTTAATTAGCTAGTATTTTTTATTTTTTAGGTTAACATTTAGAAATTACTAATTTATAGGTACATATATAGATTTTCATTATAGCTTTTTATGATTCATTTTGCAACTTTAGACAAATTTGCCAGTAAATAGCAATAGCAGAAATAATACCCTAATCACTGCATATAAACAAATGAAGAACAGAAATTGAATTATTGATATAGTTTGTTGTGTTAGAATTTTCTGTGTAATATGTTTGAGTTCATTTTTAAATGAATATTTTAGAATAAATTTAGATTTACCAGAGGTTGTGAAGTTATCCCAGTCTTAGCATATATGCAACACTAATTTCCTTGTTATTAAGTTCTTAGATTGCTGTGATACATTTGTAGCAATGAACCAACACTGATACATCATTATCAACTAAAGTCCATATTATATTCAGATTTTCTTAGATTTTACCTTCAGTTCATTTTTGTAATTTTTTTAAAAGAGTTAAAATGCATGAATAAAATTTGAATGCCATCGCTGGCAGAATTATCACAACTCTTCCTGGATCCTTTGGTTTTTGTGTGATGTAACAAAAATCCCTGGCCAGTCATCTGCCACTGTAGCCACCCTCTCTTTTTCAAATGAAGTTTCTCCATAAATAATTACTTTGTCTTTAATATCCTAGATAAAGTTCTCTGTTTAATGTCTCATGCCTATATTGACTCTCTGTTTGAATGGTCTCTCTTGTTCCTTGCCCAGCTTCAGAATTTTGATTAATCCCCTAAATCCAATATAAGAACCATCTGATCTGTGGTTGCACTCTTAAAGTTGGTATAATCAGTCTACAATTGTTTTACTGTCATCTGTTTTTGTCATACTGAGTACTCAGATTTCCATTGTATTTTTTTTTTACTTATCCCTTTATTTCCCATTTGGCTAAATTTAATATAATTTTCATTTATTTTACATTGACGTGACATACAGAATATGTGAAACTTACACATTTAACCACAGGGAGATTGCATAAAATTTGATAGATTAAAATCTTTCTTGCAAAATGTGTGTACTGTGTGTGTTTAAGTAGGCCTTCATATATATATAAAAATAAAACTTTTAGGTCAATAGAGTGAGGTGAATTTCACCATTGCATCCAATATACTGTTTGTTGTGATAATTTTAAGCTTCATAATTTAACATTTCAGTAAGCATTGTGATAAGAATTATTTTTTGATTTCATAAAATAATGCTGGCAACATGATTTTTTGTGAATTCAGTATAATGAAGTCAGCACTTTGATCATAAAACATGGTAATAGTGTCTAGGTGGGTCAAGTGCAGATTTTGTGTGCGTGTGTTATCTCCTTGGGATTTAAACTGCTGCTGTGTCACAGCTCCTTACTGTTTCCACCAGTGGAGTGTTGTCAGCTTGGTGTTGACTGATCACTTGTAAAGAAGATGAGTTACAAAATACCAGGTGAGGGTTTTCTAAAGAACTAATTTCCCTGCTAAATTTTTCTTTAGCTATGAATGGATAGTATATTTTAGAATTAATATGTAGCTATATATTAAGATAAATAATAAATCTACTTCATATATTACTTCCAATTGAAATTTTAACTCTCTAACTGAAAGATATCATTGGGAGTAGAATGGAAACAGAAAAAGATTATTAAACTTGTTGATTATTATTCTTCATTATAGCAATAGTCACTGACATGTGTGTAGTGTCCAACTTTATTGATTTCCTATTCATCATCTCATTTAATCCTGACAGAAATCTATTTTTATTGGTGACAATGCCATTAGCTCCATTTACATTGAGGAAGCTGAAAGTCACAGTGATTATGGAGCTTAACTAAGCTTATACAAACATTTATGCTGTAGAAGAAAACAACAACTCAAATGTCAGAGGAACTCTGGTCTAATTTTTCTCCTAGCAATAAGCTCAGTTATATTATTTGACCATTTAATATTTTTGAGGTGACAAGTTGGGTTTGGAAATTTACAAATAAAAACATCTAGTTCCTTCTAAGAAACAATCAAATTGTAAAACATTGATTTCCATTTCTCTTTTTTATTTCCCTTCCTCTGAGCAGTTGAAGAGATTAAAGAGCAATAATGTACCAAAAATGTTGGATATGTGGAGAGATTTTTAAAAAAAGCAAATTTAGGCATCAACATTTTACGTAGGTTGTTGTAATTAATCTATTATGACAGACCTGGACCTGAACAAGGTGGTGGTAGCAACACAGTGAGGACAGCACATTCACAATAACCCAGACACTGGATCAATCTGGTGGATGAATGGGTGAAGAGAAAGTGACATAAATGCACAATGGAGAATTATTCAGGCATTAAAAAGAAGGGAATCTTGTCACTAGCAGCCACAGGGATGGAACTAGAGGACATTATGTTAAATGAAATAAGCCGGACACAGGAAGACCAATATTGTGTGTTTCTATTTATATGTGAAGGCCAAATGTGTTCATCTCATAGAAGTTCACAGTATAGTAGTGGTGGTTAGTAAGCTGGAAACAGATTGGGAAGAGAGGATAGTGAGAGGATGGTATTGGGTACAAAGAATACAGCTAAACAGGAGGAATAAGGTCTGGTGTTCTGTGGCACAGTAGGGTGGCTACACTTAGCAATCATTTATTATATTTTTCAAAATACCTAGAAGGATTTTCAATGTTCTCAACACAAAGCAATGGTAAATATTTGGAATGATAAGTATACTACTTACCATGATTTGATCATAACACATGATACAAATATTTTGAAATATCATGCCATCTCTCATAAATTTGGACAATTTTATGGGTCCATTAAAATAACAAAAAAGATACATAGGACAAGTTTGGGATGTATTTGGCAAGAATTTTAACAATAGTCAATACATTATTTGATACTGCAAATGAGGAAAGTGAGCAAAATTAGGGAGTGATGATTGCCTTAGAGTGAAATAAGAATGCAGGAGTAGCAAGTTACATTTTTGTCAGTACAAATTTCTTTTCTTACACAACTCGCCATTGGTTATATCTTCCCCTGAATCTGAGCCTGATTCATCTACCTATGTTTTCTTTCTGTGAATCAATATTACATTCAGAACCAGGCATCTGTTTCCATGGGAAGAGGGAAAGTTTTCAGGGATAGTCTGCAGAAATAGAATTTTTCTCAGTAAATTCAAGGGGACATGATCAAGTGACAGCTGGACAGTTAAGGGGGGGAGAAATACAGACGATGAGGGCAGGTTAGAAAGTTTGTATTTCAGTAAGTGGAACATGGCGAAATTGCAAGTGTCCACGGCATGCTGCTCTGGCAACAGGAACTAGCTTTTCCAAAAGGAGCCTGAGTCTTTTTGGGATTGGCCTGTTTCACTAAGCATAATGATGTCCAGTTGCAACCATTTTATTAAAAAATGTAATGAACATGAGCAAAATTGACATTTTGAGATTTTATTATTGTTAATAGCCCTTGTCTACACTCTTGAGGGACAGTGGTTTTTCTACTTATTACTTACTGAATTCTTTATTTAGGGGAAGGTTAATCCTTTGATTATAAAGAAAATTGAAAGTATGTCATTGTAAACATTAAAAGAAAAATAGGAAAAGGAGAGAGAAAGGGTGAGAGGGTAGGGTGGGAAGTATCATTATGCTCTTAAAACCGTATATATGAAATTTGTTCCCTTTTTATGAATTAAAAATCTTAAAATTTTAAGTATAATATGGGGCCGGCGCCATGGCGCACTAGGTTATTCCTCTGCCTGTGGTGCCTGCATCCCATATAAGCGTTGCTTCTAGTCCCAGCTGCTCCTCTTCCCATCCAGCTCTCTACTATATGCCTGGGACAGCAGTAGAAGATGGCCCAAGTGCTTGGGCCCCTGCACCCACAAGGGAGACAAGGAAGAAGCTCCTGGCTCCTGGCTTCAGGTCAGCGTAGCTCCAGCCATTGCAGTCATTTGGGGAGTGAACCAGAGGAAGGAAGACCTTTCTCTCTGTCTCTCTCTTTCACTGTCTGTAACTCTACCTGCCGATAAATAAAGTCTTAAAATAAAGTAAAAAAAAAAAAAATGCCTGAGAAGGTAAAACTCACTGGCAAGGCCATCAGCAGTCGTTAGAATTGGCTGGCTGGCTTCATCTTGGAATGATCTGGGGGTAAGCTGAGAATTTTGTGTGTTTCAGACAAAAACGGTAAGGGACAGGAAACATTTGAGGTATAAACTGAAGCTGTGGGGCTGAGGGAATGTGTGAAGCATTGCCTGGTGAACTCTGGTTCAGACTGGAGAACAGCAAACGTGGGGTTGCCTAGCCTCATCACCCACTCAGTTCAACTTGTCCGTTTCGCTACACGAAAGAAGTCCTGCACTGAATAGAACAAAATCTGCTCACCTGCCTCTTTATATGTCAGCTAACCCTGGAGATTGGCAGTCCAGACGCTGACCCTGCCCCACATGGCACCATAGAGTTAGAGGGCCCAAAGGGGTGCTCTGCTCTGTCCTCCTCCTTAAGCTGGACTTTAATTACATTCTCAATTGCCAACTTTTCTACAAAGTTCTGCTTTAAAAATATATGATTGATATTAAACACACAAAAATTAACTAATAAATTTTTTTGAAAAAAAAAGTATTTAACAAGGGCTTCTTAAATATCCATGAAAAAAATCACTTTAAATTTTTGATCACGGAAAAATGAAAATACCATGAATAACTTATTAATCATAGATTTAATAAAATTAGGGCCTCCTTCAATAGTCAGAAAAATTAAAAAATTTGAAATTGTCCACTACAGTACAAATAAATAGTATTTCACCTATAATAAATAATTCTTTACAAATTGAGAATATTAAGAAGTTTTCCATTTGTCAACTATTTCATTATTTAGTTACCTCTGTTGGTTACAAACCAAGGTTATCATAAATTTCCAATCATGCAAAGTGTTTATGATATCTTGTTTTGCATAATTTCATGTATACTTTGTATACTTTTCCATTAAGGAAAAATATTTAGTGAAAATATCACTAACCTCTATGGGAAAGCAGTTTGTCAAATGATTCACCCCATCTCTTTGCTTCTTCAAGGAGAACTCTGTTCAAGAAACAAAATACTTTAAAATGTAGTATGTTGAAGTCTGTTTATGAATCTGTTCTAACATATGCTGTATTACTGCTCTTTTCAGTTGTATTTCACAAGGTTTCTCCTTTGATTATTCTGTAATGAAAGTTGAATTTAAATTAGAAATGTCAGAAACATCAGTTAATTTTCTTTTGGATCTCATGGATGTGTAAATTATTTTAGTTTTTCAGGAGAAATAAATCATTTATTAGTTTAAAAACACAAGAAAACAAATACAAATAAGTTCGGTCAGCTCTCGTATGTATTTCAGCAAATAGAAGTTAAACTGAGAGTATCTTTCTGTCAAACTTTAACTGCAATTTCCTTGAAGCTCTAACCACAATATGCTGCAATTATTTTTTTGAACAGATACAGGAAGTTTGACAAATGATAAGAAATATGACATTCTCAATACAATGAATATTTCAGAGAAGTTAATATATTCTTGGATCTTTCCTTGGCGGTGTTCAAATTTGGAATAAGTGTTGTTAAACTAATATAAGAGGCTATTCCATATTCTGTTTAATTGTAGAAATGTTAAAAATTGCAATTGCCTGCCTTTGTAGTTTACTTGCTGTTATACATAGAACACTTCTGAAGAAATAGTAGTTCATTGTGAAAACTCTTAAATTAATTACATTTCATCAATTTAACAGTAAATATATTATAATATAGTTTTATATTTATATTTTAAATATAGTAAGTAGTTTTTAAAAAGTCCCTTTAATTGTTTGTGATTATTTAATTAAAGCTAGTAAGCTGGTTTAATTTTATTAAATATTCCTAGTTTCTAGGAATGAAGCTTCTAACTTGTTAATTGTATAACTACAAGTTTTAATAAAATTGAAATCCCTAATTTCCTCTTTATTAAGTATTTATTGATAGAATCAGCAAAATCTTCCCCCAAATAATGAAAGCTGTTCACCGTGATTCTTTGCCCGAGTGCCCTGGTCTATTGGAGTGGGTGTCGGTGTGAAACTCGGCTTTCTGCACGAGAAGACTCAACCTATTTCTTTTTTCCTTAGCTCTAGAAAGAAAAGACATTAGTTTCAGACAATTTAGGTGACACCGATATTCTCTTCTTATGATTACCAACAAACTTTGAAATTGGTATACCCACCTCCTACTCAACACATACACACACATGTATGATTTAAATATTAGGTTTGTGGAGGATATGGGATAACATATGTGAAATATGTTTCTCTTTTTCCTGAGGGGCATTCAACTCTTTGAGACCATATTCCAGTAAAGATTGTGTGAGGGTTCTTGGAAAAGTTCATGGAAAATGGAATTTAAAACAAATTTATTTTTGTGCAAAAAAAATTGGATTCCATGCAAAAAGGAGTCTTCAGAAAGTTGATGGAACATTTATATTCTGAAAGCACTATCCATGGATTAGAAAGTATCTTTGCACCAAAATAAGCTAATATTTTAATCACATTTTCTACAAAGTTTTTGAATTGCCGTTGGGCTCATTCTGTGTGGCTTCTATACTTTTTCTTTAATAAAACACTCTAGATTTAACAGTTGTTAACTCCTAACACTAAAATACTTTTTTCAGTTGCAACATTTAATCAATACATTTCAAAATAGATATTTGAAAAATAATAGCAAATATTCAACATAAATTATGCATTTAAAAATAACAAGTCAGTTTAAAGTTTATACTTTTACCTCGTTTTGGCTTCTTTGCTTGTTTCTTCTTTTCCTGAACCATGCATTAATCTGAAAAAAGTTTTCTCTTTGGATTCACACATATTTAATTGAGAAAATAAAACTAATGATGTTTCCATGTTCTCTCTCCAGAATGAAGAGAGTTTTAATTTATTACATTCTTTCAAGTTCACTTGTTAATATTGTTCCATAGTTCTACATGGTAGAATAAAAAGTTCTCTCAATTCCTTCAGAAATGCTTAAAAAAAAGAAAGAAATATCAAGAGCTGTGTTCCTGCCTCTGCTAAAATGTGGAACTGAGGAACTGAAGTACGGTTTAGCACTGCGCAGTGAAAGGAAATGATGCCACAAAACTGCAAAGTGACTCTTGGGCTCCAAGATAAGGACTAGGGCTACCACACGGCAGCTTCTCTTTCGTGTTTGTGGAAGTCCAAGGATACTTTACTACGCTCAAAGGACACTGTCACTTCCCACAGGAAATTTTTTAAAGTTTCTTTAGTGTGTGTAGTGTCTGTTAGAATGTGTGGTGGTAAAGTTTTGCATCAGACATGAGGAGACATTTTCCCTTGTTCTTGAAAAATCATTTTCACTAGTTTTTGTTATTACTATTTGTGTTCAAGTTAAGTAAGTAAATTGCACTTAACTCTGTCATATTGGTATGAACGTTAATTATGTTTACTTGACTTGTATTAAAATTAGACAATAGGTAAGAGTTTTAAGGTTGTAAGGGGCAGTAGGAAGATTTAATCCAATAATTTGTTAGCATAGGTCCATGGAAATAGCTAATCAAATAATCAAATCAATTAGTTAATAAATTAATTAGATAAAGATTTTTATCATTAGGTGATGAAGTGGAAGCAAATACTATAGAATTTGTTCTTAAAGCTACTTTTATGTTTTTCAATATAAAGGACTTTCCTCTTGAATTTCCTATCCTGATTATTTTGTTATTAAAATCTTCCTTTTAGTGAAATTTTTAAACTAGAAAGCTTGTGTGTTATTCAAAATGAAATGTTGTCAACACTAAATTGATTCAGCCCTCACTTCTTTTACTGTTTTATGAGACCCAAAACCCTGAGAAATACTGATCTGGCCCATAAGTCACATTTGTTGGAAAAAGAAACCAAAGATCACAGATACTAAATGATTTATTCCTGCCATGTCCCAGAGAGAGGTCAGTGGAAGATATCAGGGACTTTGCTCACCGTAGTATGCACTTTAGTCTTTCCAAGAGCCTTTGATCTTCAGTAGGAAATGCTTTAATTCATGTAAAATCATATGTAGTAATTCTAGGTTATACAAATCCAAAAGAGTTGTATCTTCAGCCTTTGAATTATTGATTTCGAAAGGCAGTAGTTATCAGCAATACCAGTTAGGGGCTCAAAGCACTCACTGATTTGAAGTGAAGGAATTTTAGTATATATTTATACATATTCCCTCCTGCTTCCGTGACTTGCACTCTGAACTAATTTTAAAATTCCTCACCTTGGCTAAAAGTTGACTGTTGGGAATATTATATGGGATGACATTTTATGGCAAGCTGGACTGTAACCGGATGACAGTATTGCACATTGTGCTCCCACCATGGTGTCCCCTAGGATTTATCACATACATATATATGAAGTTTATTTTTGTAGAGGTGAATGAGGACAAGGGAAATTCATAGCAATCTGAATGTTGCCCAGTCTGCGCAGCTCTCATCCAGGGGCATGAGAGACATAAATTTATTGAGCTGTTTTTTATAAGATTTGTTGAAATTGTGTGCCAGGTGTGCTATCCACAAGCTGACAGAATTACAGAGAGAAAAATAGTGAAAATACATGCACAAGTAATCAACTTAAAAAACCTGTGAAAGTTTTGCAGCAGACTTGAGATGTGAGAAACTACCCTGTCCATCTGTGGACAGCTGGAAGTTGGGGCAGGTAAGGGGGGAGGAGGTGGATATAAAAGGTGACTTCAGCTAATAACCATTCTTTTGGAAACAGTAGATTATCCCTTAAATTTTTCATAGTGTCATATCTACTCACATGTTTATGTATAAAACTGACTTTCAAACTGGCATTGTTTTCCTTTAGCCTAAAGAAGGCTTCTTCACTATGGAGCATTTCTATTGTGAAAGTCTGCTGGCAACACATTTGCTTCACTTTGGACATTCTGAAATGTTTGTGTGTGTATGTGTGTTGTGGGTTAGGTATGACAAGCTACTTAATGTGTACAATCTCATACCCTTGTCATTTCTTCTATTGGGAGAACATAAAATCGGTGCAGCTTCGGCCATTGTGGCCCTCTGGGGAGTGAACCATAGGATGGAAGACCTCTCACTCTCTTCCTCTCTTCTTCTCCTCTCTCTGTGTAACTCAGACTTTCAAGTAAATAAATAAATCTTAAAAAATAGCATTTTAGGTTGACAGTTCTTTTTTTCGTTAGCACTTCTAAGGATATTGCATTTTGTATTCTGTCCTCCATTATTTCTGATGAGAAGTCAATGCCAAATTGTGTAATAGCTCCTGTGATCTCAGTTGTCTCTATATCATCTATATCATGTCTGTATCTGTGTCTCCATCCCGTCAGCTGGTTTATTCCCCAAACGCCCACAGTGTCCGGGGCTGGGCTGAATCAGAAGCTGAGAGCCAGGAATGCAATCCAGGTCCCCTTCTTGGGTGGCAGATACCCCATGACTTGAGCCACCACCACTGTCTCCCAAAGTTTGTATTAGCAGGAAGCTGGGGTCAGGAGCTGGAGTGAGGAATCGAATGCAAGCACTCCAGTGTTGCATTGAGCATCTTCACCACCAGGCTAAATGTTGGCTCCTGGAGTAGGCTTACTTATACCAGCATGAGCACAAACCCTTGAGTAAATACATCGCGCTATGATGTTATGATGGTTATGACACTGCTAGGCAATACGAATTTTTCAGCTCCTTTATCTATGTGGTGTCTTATTGACTGAAACATTGTTATGTGGCACATGATTTGTGTATATGTATACACTCATGTAAATATATGAGTATACATTTCACCCACACAATATACACATGTTGGGATCTTTGAAAAGTTCACAGGAGATATGTATAATGTAAAAAACTATGCATGGATTTCAAATATTTTTGCATTAAAATAAACAAATTTAATTCCATTTTCACGGATTTTTAAAATTCCTTCTGTGTGTATGTAATATGTTTTGTGTATATGAGTATTATACCCTACTGCTTTGCTGAATTATATCTATTCTTGTTCATAGAATTGCTTATAGTTTTTAAATTCATTTTCCTATATTTCTTAACAGATAATCAGATTCTTTATAAATATTACTAGCTTCAATAACTCTTTTCTAATGGTTATAACTATTTTATTTCCTAACCTAATACTGTTGGTTTATAACTTCATTACAGTAAGCTGATTGTTGGAATCCTTGTCTTATTTTTGTTGAATAAATTAACTCCTACTAAAATGAGGCCAGGTTTCAGATTTATTTTTATGCATGAATTTATTTGTTAGTTTTCTCATTCTCTTCTAATAACTTTGGATAGAATGTGACCTTGTTACATTTCTATTATTTTTCATGTGACAATAGCTTTCTTGTACTTCAAGAATGAGGGAGGATTAAAAAAACCTTTTTTTTTTTTCAGTATTAGTTTATTTCATTTGAGCCCTAACATTTGTGCTGGTACTGGTATTCTGATAATAATTTAAAGATGAATAACTAGAAACTCTTCTACTAATACATTACCCTTTATGTCCTTGGGAAGTAAAAATCTTACTATGCATAAAGATACATAATGGATGCAAGGGAGTAGTTCAGTTGCAAGCTCTTCCTCCATAAAGACCTAGCAACAGTGACTAGTGCAGTAGCAATGAGACCAAGGTCATGGTTTTGATCTGTCCATTCTCACTACTGGTGACCCACGTGTAGAGGAGACATTACAGACTCGAGGTCTCAGACAGGAATCATGCAACGTAAGCCTGGCAAACGTCATGTCAGTTAGCAACTAAGTTATTTGGGGATGAATATAATTTAAAATGATTCAAAAGTCAGACCATTGATTCTTCCACTACCAAAATGAAACCCTGATTTTATCTTTTTAAAAACAAAATCTTTTAACAAAAGAATCATCTCTAATTTTGTTTGAGTTTTTTCTCTTTTTTTCTTTGTTGCTTTGGCTAGAGGTTTATCTATTTTATTTGTCTTCTCAATACCAGCATTTTTTGGTTGATTTTTAAAAATCTTTTTAGTTTCAATTTCATTTATTTCTATTCTAATCCTTATTATTTCTTTCCTCCTGCTGCTTTTGGGTTTGTATTGTTCTTGTTTTTTTAAGTTTTTAGCATGCATCATTAGGTCTTTAATTTGAGGTCTTTTTTTTTTAATGTAAGCACTTAATGCTCTAAACTTCCGTCTTAATACTGCTTTGCTGTATCCCACAGGTTTGGATATATTATATTTTCATCTGTATTTATTTCAGGTTTTTGATTCCTTGTTTTTAATTTCTTCAGTGACTGTGCTGTCTAATTTTAAAGTATTTATGAGTGTTCTAGTGCTTTTCTTGTTGTTGATTTCTAGTTTTATTCCTTTATGGTCTGAGAAGATACATGATTTCAGTCTTTTTAAGTTTGCTGAGAGTTGATTAGTGGCCTAATATGTGGTCTCTACTAGAAAATGTTGCATCCACTATGAGAAGAATGTGTATTCTGTAGCTGTTGGGTGAAATGTCCTGTAAAATTTACTGTATATGAGTGAAATGGTTATTTTTCCATTCAATTATTACTTATAGACATTGTCTATATTCTCACTAAACTAGGATCTCTTTTTGCTTTTTACTGGTTAAGCTTCTTATTTGGTGAAGCATTAAGCCTTTTTATGGTAATGTAATTTTAAAATGTTATCTCAAAAAAAAAAAAGAGGGAAGGAAAGAGAACGGAAGAAAGGAAGGAAGCGGATATCATTATGTTCTTAGAATTTATCCACAAATCACATTTAATCTGTTAAAAACTGTTAACAAATTAAAATAAGTACAAAAATCCAAAGAATCAGCCCCCTTTATTCTAGACTTATCTATGCTCTTGCCTATTTGGAAACATGATTAAATACTAAGTTTAAGCATTGCATTCTCTTCTGAGGAGCCATTTATGACCAAGTTTAGCCAAACTGATTGAACCATCTATTGGACTCCATTGTATTCAATTTGTAATTATTTTTTAACTTTTATTTAATGAATATAAATTTCCAAAGTACAGCTTATGGATTACAATGGCTTCCCCCCCATAACATCCCTCCCACCCGCAACCCTCCCCTTTCCTACTCCCTCTCCCCTTCCATTCACATCAAGATTCATTTTCGATTCTCTTTATATACAGAAG